CCCTCCCTTCCTTCCTTCCTTCCTTCCTTCCTTCCTTCCTTCCTTTCTCCTTTTCTTTTCTCCTTCCTCCCTCCCTTCCTCTTTCCTTTCTTCTTCAATTTGCAGTTTGCGACAGGTGTCACTGTGTAGTTTTAGGCTGGCCTTGAACTCTGTAGTCCAGGCTGCCCCTTAGCCCTGATCATTCTGCTTTAGCCTCTTGAGTGATGCGATTCTACGCATATATCTATTTGCCTGGCTCTTGCCTGAAATCTGTAAGACCTGACTTGTGTGCTCAATACACTTGGCAGAGGTTTACCTGTGGAGATCAGGATACAGCAAGTGATTCTGCTGTAGCAACTTTTGCATGTATATTGGCTCATTCCTAGCAGACTAGAAATGAAGAAAATGGGGGTATTCAGAAGGTAAGTTTGGAAAGTGGAACATGCAAACCATTCAGATATCAGGTACTGGAAATATCAGGGCATGGACGGGGTGTGTGTTAGGGGCTCATTCTTGCAAAGGAGTTATGGTAGATGCTTGCTAGTAGAGAAAGTGGTTCAGTGTTTACAACCCAGTTCTGTGGTTGAGAGAGAGAAGTTTAGTTCCCACCAACTTAAACCACTAGTGGAACATGCCTGACTATCGTATCAGAGAGCTTGTACTGCTCAATGGTACTATCTCCTGCTGCCATATGGGTTAAGATGGTAGGAACATAGCATGTTCAAATTAAAGACTCCTGGCAGCAAGACACAGGAATTAATGGCTCTGTTGTAAATGTGTTAAAATGAGAAAGTGAGGTCTGAGTATGCATAGCCCAGTTTGGTAAAACAGTGGAGGTTTAGGTTTTTGAAGCTTTGCCTGCTGGTACCTTCAGGGTCCTGCTGCTTTGCTAGTATTAATCTCACAGTTGAATGTTTTGGCGGGGAGATAGCTCAGTAGAATAAGTGCTTGCCTGGCAAGCGCAGGGTCCTGAGTTCAATCCCCAGTACTGGAGGAAAACAAACAAACAAACAAACTAGAAAGTTTTAGTTTCTAACATCTTGCTCCAGTAAGGTGCACAGCCCAGTCAGTCTGGAAGACTTGGTGCTTTGGTGTCCTTTCAAACTACTAAATATCTTATCCCCCAGGTATCTTCCTCACCATCTGTTGGTTCTGAAACCTACCTGTCTATTAAGCCTTAAGGAAATAGCCGCTGTGAAACACTGTGGAAGGCTAAAGTGGAAGTGTTTTAATTTTGAGTCCTGCCTGGGTAACTTTGTAAGACCATTTCCAAAAAGTAGGGATGGGTCCTAAGGGTGCAGTTCAGTGTGAGGGCTACACTGGGTTCAGTTCTTAGTACTAGACACACGCGTGCGCACACACACACAACACACTCTAGCAGCTAGATATACAAACTACATACAGGCTTTCTTTTTGTGATCAGCAAAAATTTTATTAGCTCTTTTGTTTTTTTTATGAAGCCTGAATATTTCAGAAACCACAGCTGATTGTACCTGTTACAGAATGACCTGCCTTCTCCAACTGCCCCAGTTTCTGAATTGCTTGGCATTCCTTTCCCAGCCTGTATGGTCTGCCCTTTCTTATAGGAATCACTGCTTTTTTTTTTGCACCGTAAGCCTAGAAGGCTCTGTGGGAGCTCTTGGGCCTCTCAGCCTTGTGGAGGATGCTGGGCCCAGCTGGACATCTGCCAACAGCCCGCATCCCATCCCCGCTGCCCAGGTGGCTGAACTAGAGGAGGGCAGCAGAACTCATGTTATTGTACCTCTCCTGGGCAAAGCATTCTTTTTGTTTAGTTTCTAGGGTATCCTCATTCATTGGAGACCATTTTAACCAGCACCACATTTACTCTTCTGCTTAATTGAAGCTTGGAGGGAGGTGCCTAATTCTTACTTTTTTGAAGAGTAGGGCAGGTATACCTGCTGTGCATTTTCTAGAATAACAAATGTGGAAGTACTGGGGTCCCTGCCCCACTTACAGGACCTCTGGGCATTACTATTGATTTTTGCACATCTGGAATTTAAGCTTGGAAGTACGGAAAATCTGTTCTTTTTTCATTTGTGAGGTCCATTCCGTTTATGTCCGTAGTAAATGTAGCACTCTAAGTGAAAAACCTTAAGTGAAGTGCACAGGTTAGCATGAAAAAGTTTTATCTCTAGCCCTCTAACAGGTTTTGGAGGATTCATGAGAGCTGGACAGATAGGTGGAAAGGTGAAATATGCCTGCCTTCAGGTGAAGGCAGTTCTTTTGGCCTTAAATGAAGACAAAACTTTGCATATCTTATGATGGAGAGAAGGTGGTATTTTATGAACTGTCCCCTTATTTGTGTGACTGTATGTGACTCCTGATGTTTGTATTCCTTGATTTTGCTGATTTGTTTATTTATTTTTTAAATTTATGTGTGTGTGTGTGTGTGTGTGTGTGTGTGTGTGTGGCCAGCTCAGCCCACCAGGGGGCGAGGCTGGCTGGCATGTGGTGCTGGGGGATTGAACCGCGGTCCCTCTGCTTTGCTAAGCTTGTTCTAAGTAGGTGCTTTAGACCACTGAGCCATCTCACCAGCCCCCAGATTTGTTTATTTTTGATATGCCTATTTTCACCAGAGCTTTGGATGAGGAAGCTGGAGCTGTCCATTGTTTCTCTGGCAGAAACAGCATGGCAGCTCAGGGCAGAGTAAGGGCCACTGCAGGGGGATAGAGGAGGTGGTAGGTCCTGGGCTACTCAAGGCAGATATGTCAGGATGAGGGTTGGTGAGAGGGTACTGGAAACAGGTCCCAGCCAGGCAGCCATAATTAGCCAGTGTCATGACTCAAGGTCTCGGGTTCTTTACCAGTACAGCAGAATGTCTTCATCTGTTGGCAGTTTTTTTCATGAGCAATAAGTAAAACAGAGCTTGACCTGAAGGACCCCAAATGGTCAAGCAGGTGATCATGGTAGATGGAGACTCACTTTCTCTTCTTGCATCAAGTATGCTGTTGTATATGTGGCCACTTTGGAGACCTCTGGGCTTCAGTTTCTTTGTTTTATTTATTTTTTTGAGACAGGGTCTCACTATGCAGTTCAGGAAGACTATGAACTCATTATGTAGCTGAAGCTGGCCTCAAATAGCAGTCCTCCTGCCTCAGCCACTCAAATGCTGAGATTACAGATGCCACCATGCCCGGCAATTTTCTTTATTTTATAAATGAAGAACCTCTGTCCCCTGCTGGGCTATGGACTTTGGAACATCACTTATTCAGAGGTGTTTATTTCATATTTGACACAGTGCTTGGTGCTGGGTACTCATTTTGAACAAGACAGATGGCAGTCACCAAGCTTGAGGACCAGAGCTGTGTGTCAGAGATGTGGATCTAACTCTAGCTCTGTAAGTATTTCTCATTTGGAGGGAGAAAGGGGATGGAAGTGTTTGGAGTGTGTGAATGTATAGTCCTAGCCTTTAGTTTTCTATCTGTGAGATGGAGTTGGATCAGAACCAGGAAAGTTGTCAGGCTGTTTTAGCTGGGCCAGATGCTGGAAGCTCTTTTTTTTTTTTTTTTTTTTTTTTCTTGTGGCTAGTTTAGCCCACCCTGGGGGCAGAGCTGGTGTGGTACATACCAAGAATTAAACTGTGGTCTCTGTGCTTGCCTAAGCAGGCACTTTAGTCCACTGAGCTATCTCACTGACCCTAGATGCTGGAAGTTCTTGAAAGCTCAGGGGAAGTTGTTAGCCTTGCTCTGTAGAAATTGGTAAAGTTCATGAATTCTTGAGCAGTGAAGGTCAGGAGGGAAGTGGTATTTGTGGAGAATTCCCTGAGTAGTTAGAAGCCTGGTGAACCAACATGAGATGTTTAGACATTTTAGGGACCTAGATAGGCATTTTGAAGTTGAAAGAACCCTGAAATGAGAGACGTTCTTGCTCTTCATGACATTTTAAAAAGTTTTTTAATTTTTATTTTTTTTCTTCATGGCAGTTTGAAACCCTTGCATTTGGCTGCATGTAGGCCCTCGGTTTAATTTCCAGTGCTTGAGCGTGTGCGCGTGCACACACACACACGCACACAATCTATCTGATTCAGCTTCTCAATGTCGTAATTGTGTCTGGCAGTGAAAATATAACTCACAAAATAGCCATTATCCAATGGAAGCCCTTTGAAAATGTGTCTTGCTTTTTTTTTTTTTTTTTAGGCTTAAGCAAGTTTATTATTTTTTTATTTTTTTAAGCAAGTTTAAATGTTATTGTTCATTATTAATTGTTTTTATTGAATTAATTTATTTATTTTGGAGACAGGGTCTTGCTGTGCAGTTCAGGCTGGCCTTTAACTCACCATGCAGGTCAGGTTGGCCTGGAACTTGCAGCAGTCCTCCTGCCTGAGCCTCTTGAGTGATGGGATTATAGGCATGTTCAACCACACCTACCATTGATGTTACTGATTTTGTCTTAGCTTTAAAAGCAAGATGGGCTTTTTCACCCCAGGATGGACAGTGTGTCCACTCACACTCAAAGTATCACCCTCAAAGTATCACCCAGGACCTGCCATGTACAGAAGTATCTTGGCCAGGCTCTTTTACCCTCCTCGGCTACTCATGTCACAGTAAAGTGTGTTTTCTCTTTAGGTCATGGCTAGTTTCTTGGATCTGAGGCTCCAAAGAGGAAATGACTTCAAGGCTACTCCAGTGTGATTACGGAAACTGGACCTTCATAGGGTGTGGACTTACTAAGGATAGGAAATTCTCTGTCTTTGAAGGGCTTTAAATTTGTAACAGAAAATAAAAATGACGACTTCATCTATCAGACGGCAAATGAAAAACATTGTGAACAATTACTCAGAGGCTGAAATTAAAGTCCGGGAAGCCACCTCCAATGACCCGTGGGGCCCGTCCAGCTCTCTGATGACTGAGATTGCCGACCTGACTTACAATGTGGTGGCCTTCTCAGAGATCATGAGCATGGTATGGAAGCGGCTCAATGACCATGGCAAGAACTGGCGGCATGTGTACAAGGCACTAACCCTACTGGACTACCTTATCAAGACAGGCTCTGAGCGTGTGGCCCAGCAGTGCCGTGAGAACATCTTCGCCATCCAGACTCTAAAGGATTTTCAGTACATTGACCGTGATGGCAAGGACCAGGGCATCAATGTGCGTGAGAAGTCAAAGCAGCTGGTGGCTCTCCTTAAGGACGAGGAAAGACTGAAGGCTGAGCGGGCCCAGGCTCTCAAAACCAAAGAGCGCATGGCCCAGGTGGCCACTGGCATGGGCAGCAACCAAATCACCTTTGGCCGTGGCTCCAGTCAGCCCAACTTGTCCACCAGCTATTCGGAGCAGGAGTATGGCAAGGCTGGGGGATCTCCAGCCTCCTATCATGGCTGTGAGTAATTAAAGTGCTCCCTACCTCTTATCTGATTGGACACCTTGTACAGATGTGGCAGCAGGGGAGGGGGAGGTAGGTAGTATGGTATTATGTATGTCCTGATGCTGAGGAAATAGTGGCCATCTCAGGGCCTGACTGTGTTCTAAATTCTTAGCTTCTGGCAACCCAAACAACAATGCTCATAGTCTGGATTGAGATACGAGCACTAATGAATGGTCTTTGAGTCCCTTGGGTGCTGTGCAGGTCTCCCTTGGTGCATCTGTGTAGAGCGGCCTCTGTGGCTTCCTGTGCTCTCAGAAAAAGATGAACACAAAGGTAGGTCTTAGAATTTTCCTCCTGAGAAAGTCTGCCAACAGAAGAATTATCCTGTTCAAACAGTGGGGAGCTGATCTGAATAATCTTTTTTTTGGCGGAACCAGGGATTGAACTCAGGCCCTTGTGCTTGCCAGGGAAGGAAGCACTTATTCCACTGAGCCATCTCCCTGCCCCCCAGAATCTTATTTCTTTAATCTTGTATTAAGTGTTTTTCTACTGACTGAGCTACAGGTCTCTTGAATGGCTCAGTGTATTATTCTCTTTCAGCATCACACAAGTGGAGATTGGTTTTCTCTGTCTCAAAGAGGGAAAAATGCAAGAAAACCTTTATAGGTGTTTAGTGTGAATGCCAATTTCTGTGATTTGGTTGCATGGCTGTAATTGCACTAGACAGAGCTGGCCTGTGTTTTGGGGTTTGCATGTTGGATAAATAGGCCTTTGCCCTTCATTCAGAAAAAAATCTGTGGGAGTATAAGAGGTGTTCAGGAAGTGATGGATACTGGTCACTGAACCATACTGGCATCCTAGTTATTTTCTGAAAGATTCCAGGCACAGTGTCCTTGAGCCTTCACTGTGCTCTGTGGCCAGTATGGACCCTATACTGTTGGCCTGGAGGCGGTGCGGGCAGGAATGACACAGAAATTGTATCTTTTGGCTGCAGAAACAGAAGTGCAGATTTCCATTCTGTGTTTTTGGAAATTAGTAACACTATATCAACACAACACAAAACTTTTTTTTTTTTTTTTAAAGTAATTTGACAAATCCCTGTCAATCCTTGCTTTGTTAATGATTTTGTCACTAGACCACTTCCTAACATTTCTTGCTTTTGACAGTTTAATTAGACTTTTTTTTGTACCAGGGATTGAACTCAGGACCTTGTGCTTGCCAGGTAGGCGCTTATGCCACTGAACTATATCCTGCACCCCTCAGTCAGACTTGAGATCAGCTGCCACCAGCAGTTTGAGAAATGTGGCACATGGAAGATTTGCATGTCAAAGTCAGACTTCCTCTCTCTAGAAATTCTAAATTAGTAAGTGTGGTACAGGTTAGCATTTTCTTGTGTCATTATATCATTTTAAGTTATTTCCTCTTTTAGTTTGAACTGCTTTGCTTAAATTAAACATAGTTGAAAATGGTTCAACCTTAATTTTCACGGGTCTCCGTTAGTTTGATCCCCCACACCCATTGCCCTTTGTTTCCCTCAAGGACCCTTTTGCCATACCTCCAGAAAAGGCTTTCTTTGAATTGCCTTAGTACCATCACCGTACCTTTCCCTGTTCTACATTGCTGTGGCTGTGTTGTATGATCAGGGGAGTGCCTCTTACAGTTGTTGTTCTCTGGAAGCCAGAGGATACAAAGCAAGGAGCTGAAACAGTGTCATGTTTATGAATAGTCTGTGGAACATTTCACATGGAGGAACGAGACTGAGGGTATAGGAGCCTAATTGTTTGAACTGGCCTTTCTTCCTTATTTTGAGCCAGAGCCTTGGGCCTTGCTGGGCTTCCACTGGACTAAATGATGTCCCAGTGCTGAAGTTTTCTAGTTCTCTTAGACTGTAGGTCTGAGTTACATAATCAGTGTCAGATTGTGGTTAGCAGGCTTTTCAGGACTAGTTTCCAAGCACAGGGCACAGCAGGGGTGATACAGGGCTCTGGGTTGCCTCAGCCCATGCCCCCTGCAGGGCTGCTGTGCAGCATCCTCTAATGGTCTGTCTCTCTCTGTGTGTATGTGTGTGTGTCCCTGCCCAACAGCGCCTGAGGCCTCGCTGTGCCCTCAGCACCGCACAGGGGCCCCACTGGGTCAGAGCGAGGAGCTACAGCCACTGAGCCAGCGCCACCCCTTCCTGCCGCACCTGGGGCTGGCTTCCCGCCCAAATGGCGACTGGGCCCAGCCTTGCCTCACTTGTGACCGCGCAGCCCGAGGTGGGAAGGCGGTTTGCTTTTCTCCTTCCTACAAATGCTGAGCAGCTTGCTGGGGGGTGCTTGTGCCAGTACAGCCAACTCTCTCCCTTTCTCCTGCTGGGTCTGGCAGTCTAACCTCTAGCTGCATGGGACCCTCTTCTAACTGTCTCCCCAGGAGATCTTGGCCTAGCCATGCTCCCTTTCATATGATTGAATACCACTTGTTTAGTAGAGGGAGTGCTCTTTGCGTAGGCATGGGGTGATGGCCTCTTTCTCCCATGTCTCATGTCCTGACAAACTGGAAAGGACTTTGCTGCCTGCTAGACTGCCAGTGATGATAGATCAGACCAATTGATTTGTTCAAGTAGAAATATCTGATTTCAACCTCACAACGCTGAGCACCCACTAGATCCTCAATTGATGTTCACTGGAAGCCATCTTCCTTTATGAAGTAATTGATACCTTGCTGATTATTCAGTAGGATTGTTTTTGCTTCCCAGTCAACTGCTGTCATCCCTGAAATCCCTGTTACCACTGTAAATAGAGAGTTAGCTGTACTGTCAATTGTAGGTTATGGTATTTGAAGATGCTGAATTCAATGAGTGACTAAAAATGGGACTTGTCTTTTAACTAATTAATGTATACTGTTCAGAGCCTATACTGTTTCAGGTTAAACTGGAAACAGATTTTCACTGTTGCCTATACTCTCATTCTAATCTTTGGTTGGTTGGAGGTGGAGGTCTGTGCTTATGAAGAGAGCTGTCTTTCCATTCTGAGCAAAAGGAGCTCCAACAGCAAGCTCTTGTGTGGTTTCCCCATGAGGTAGCCAGCCTCTTAATCAGCCCTGGAGACAGTTTCTGTTCACTCATGCCTCATTAATATTTCAGTTTGTTTGACTTGGTATTTGTGTGATCACTATACTTAGCTCTGAGATATCTTCCTTCATCTCCCTGTCTTGCCCTAACAGTTTATACCAGATTTTGGTTCTTTCTATATTGACCTTAGAAAATATAAGGATGACCAGCTTTGTACTGAAAAGAATGTCAAGGTCAAAGCTTATATAAATGGGTAGATGGATTAAATCCCCTCTCTCCTGCCATATACTCAGGTTCCCACAGAACTTCATAAAATTTCTCCTTTTTTTGTATGTTCTGCCCCTATGGTAACTGGTAAAGTCTGTTGAACCTTGGTAGTTTTGGGCTTATCTGTCTGTAGTTTTGCTGGCTTTCATGGGACATACATGTGCTTTTTTTGTTGCTGTTTTGTTTTTGAGACAAGGTCTCAATGCAGGCTGTCCTTAATCCTACTATATAGCCACAGTTAGCCTTGAATTTGTAGTGCTCCTCCTACCTTAGCCTCCTGAGTGCTAAGATTACAAGTATGTGAGCTACTGTGCCTGGCAACATTTACCTATTAGAAACAGACCTGGCTATTTTGTCCTGGGCCCTCTCTGGTCTTCCCTCTGCACCTTTGCCTGTGTGGTTTTTCGCTGCTTGTATGGCTACCCCTAAATCAGGCAAGTCACTCAAGTTGTATAGTCTCTTTTTCGTCTCTGATATGAATCAAAGATAAAAATGAATATCTTTTTATTTAATATATATTTTTTATATCCCAGGTGAATTTTGAGCAAATAAGTGTTACCTGGAATTGTAGTTCATCCTTAACTAATTGGCACAAGCATTCCTTTTTGTATTCTTCACCCTATGATGTCATGGGGGTACTTTTCTGTTCTTTTTTGTGTTGATTGTTAGTTGAGTGGATTTGGAGCATATTGCCTTGGCGAAGATAGAGTAATACCAGCCATTCAGAAAAGGAACTCCTCAAATAGAGTCTGTGACTCAAAAGAGATGTTTCTGAGTAAGGTGTTTAGGATCCAGACCCTGCAGGAGCAGAAGTAGCCAGTTGCTGAGAAAACCCCTTGCATGAGAGCAGCCATGGTGGGATGATGTCTCATATTTTTGACTGTTATCCTTTTTTTTTTTTTTTAATTTTTTTGTGTGTGTGTGTGTGTGTGTGTGTGTGTGTGTGTGTGGCCTGCTCAGCCCACCAGGGGGTGGCCCTGGCTGGCATGTGGTGCTGGGGGATTGAACCGTGGTCCCTGTGCTTTGCAAAGCTTGTTCTAAGTAGGTGCTTTAGACCACTGAGCCATCTCACCAGCCCCTTGACTGTTATCCTGATGGGTAGTATCATGATGGTGTTTGGGGACAGCTTTCTATTGTGAGCCAGATATCATTTCCTCCTTCCTTTCCTTCACCATCCTGATCATGGATACCTCTCATTTTCTGTCCTCAACTGATTCTGTCACATCAGTCTGGTGCTAGTCTTTTGATCTTTCATCTCAGCCTACACCTGCATCAGCCTCACCTTTATCCTGTGCTCTGTTTCTGGACCTTAGAATATGCCTTTAGATGCAGTTTGCCTGCTGGGTCATCCCTGAGTTTTTGTCAAGGCAGATAAACCCTTCTCTGGTTGACCTTGGTCTCCTTCAGGTCCCCCCACACCCACCCTGTATGTCAGGGTCCTTATGCCCCCACAGAAGTGACACAGATCTCAGGTCTGTTGATGTCTGCCCTCAGTGTCAGTGTAGGGCTTTAGATTCTGCCTTCTCTCCACACTTGTACTCTGGGCTCCTACATTCCTTTTGTCACATTGTTTACTGAGTTCTTGGCCACCTTGCTCTTCTTCAGATGCCCTGAACCCACTCTCATCTTAGCCTCTGTGCTGGGCACTTGCTTGCATAATAATTGAAAGGAAAATATATTGTAGATAAATATAGGCATGTTATGTGATGAGTGCTCTGGGTAATAGAAAGACCATGACAACCCTGTGAGTGGTGTGGGGAATAGTGAGGATGGTTTGCACTGTGGAATAAATGAGGATTAGAGGATGGGTCAGGGTGTACCTGGGAGAGGTGTGGCATTGTAGAGGTTGAAGTGGGAATGTGCTCGGGTTTGTAGAACAAGGTGTCCAGGGAGGCTGGAGCCAGTGAAGGAGAGTGGCTGGTAGGGTCAGGGTAGAACTTGTCAAAGTCTGGCCTGCAGGGAGCATAGAGTGGAGTCTGTCAAACTACTTCTGGCAGGGAACATTCCTTAAGTTCCTAGTCTGACCTAGCCTGGTATTTGTGTGTCAGTGTTTAGATGTTGTAGCAATGTCAAATGGTTATAAAAAGAGTCTCACTGTATTTATCTTGTCACAGACCATATGCTCTGCCCCATGAACTGGCATGTGGCCTTCTTGGTCTACATCAAAAGATCCATTGGGTTTTACTCACCCAGATGGTGATCTGGAGAAAGCTAGTTTGAACACAGGACAGACTACCTGAATTAAGGATAACAAGGTTTAGGAGGATCCCTCTGGCTGTATGTGGGTAGGGCAGGAACAGGTCACTGCCCTGGTCCAGATGGGAGGCTGTGGGTCCTGGATCCTGGTGTGTTGTAGGAGTCTGGGAAGTAGCCTTGCCTTTGGAGTGACTCATTGGAGGTGTGTGAGCAGATTGCTGGGCGTGAGACTGGATGCAGAAGGTTTGGTGAAGGTGACATGTTGAAATGTCTATTCAACATGCAAGTGGGGATAGTGAGACGTCTGAAGTATGGGTGAAAATTCTGGGCTGAACAGGGAGGTATTGGTAAATAGATGGTGCTTTTAACTTAACTCTGACCTCTCTGTACTCATCTTTACTTGAAGGCTCAGGGCATGTTGGCTGTTTCCCCACCCTCAGCTTACCAGAGTTATATGTTTCTTGCACACCAGCTGGCACTTCAGACTGTTAATGTGTTTGCCAAAGCTGTGTAGCCTGGAGAAGGCCTCTCAGGTTAGAGGGTTCAGATCTTAGATTTCCAGAATCTAAGATCACAAAAGGGGCAGCCTGCCTTGATTGGGGCCGAGGTATAAACTGCCTATGTTCAGCAGGGATCTTGTCACCCTCTTTGCTTTTACTGGACTGGCCACAGCACTTAGTAGGCTGTAAAGAAATCACAAAAGTTCTTGAGAGTTGGGGGAACCTTGTATGTCAATGGTGACAGAGGGTTTGTGAAGATCCTAAGATTCAAGGTTGAGGTTTTTTTTTTTTTTTTTTTTTTTTTTGAATTTTTTTTTTTTTTTTGGTGGAACTGGGGATTGAATTCAGGCCCTTGCACTTGCCAGGGAAGCACTTGTTCCACTGAGCCATCTCCCCGGCAAGGTTGAGGTTTGAGGGGGAAAAAAAATTGCTACTGTCCTGTGTGGGTGGTTGGGGCCACATGTCCTCCTCCTCCAGCCCTGGCTTGGTCTCTGTTGGGAGCCAGGGGGAGGCAGCAGGGCCTACTTAACTCTACAGTCTTTGCTTGTCCTAATGTACCAAGAACCAGCTGTGTTGCTTGGTGCCTTGGACTTTTTGGTGGGAATTTAATTGCCGCTATCCCTGTTCCTAAAAAAAAAAAGTAAAAAAGAAAAAGCAAGGAAGGAAATCAGGATAGAAGTCCTTGTCACCTTTTGATTTGCTTTAGTGAAACAGAACAACTTTGAGGTTGTTAAAGAACCAAGGTTTAATATTGCTTGGACTTTCCCCCATATGAGTGCTGCCACCCAATCCTCATCTTCTCCAAATGGCCTGACAGCCATACCTGCCTTTGGCACTATGTCTGGTACAGGGCAGCCAGCTGTGATGCAGTTCAGGTCTTTTCCCAGAGGAATGTTAGTGAGGCCTTCACCTCCAGCTTCATGCAGTGGCTGCTCTCCTCACAAACCACAGGCATTGGCTTACTAAGTGATTACAGGAGATTATGGCTGTTTAATGTATTTGCCCTGCTTTACTCTAGAAAGGATTTGAGTTAGCTTGCAAAGCACATGCAGTGCCAGAGGATTAAGTAGATACCAGAATAAACTGGGCCAAAAAGGAAATAGGGATGAGAAAATAAAACAGGGCCAGAGCCACACACAGTTGGTAGAGATGGGTCCAAAAAAATTTTTTTTTTTGGGGGGGAGGCCCAAACTTGGCTTTGACCATCCCAGCCACCAACATCAAGAAGACAATTTCTCTTTGG